CGCACCGCCAGACTTTTCAGCCAACACTGTGCTTTTCCAGTTTGAGTGCTGTGTGCCCTCGTACCGGAGGGACACCCACGCCTCAAGCACGGCCCTTAGCCGCCCCTTGTTACTGTGCCTGTGAGGAGAGAGATCCCCCATCTTCACTGCTGAGGGTCTTCTTCCCCCCTCCGCAAGGTGAAAAATGGCATATTTTATAATCCAGGAGCGTGCGTTCTTCCACGACCCTTCGTTTGGCTCAATCGTAGCTGAAACGTCCCCTCCTCGGGCGGGTATCTTCTGCCCCTCATTTGCGTGCTGTTCTTGCGCCTCTCCTGCTTATTGACCACCTACTTCCCCTGTCACGTTTTAGGCCGAAAGCGTGTTTTTTAAGTTGCACAACAACCGGCCTCTTGCCCGTGGTTCAAGGCCATCGCCTAGCAGGGGGAAACATTGCTGCCCTCCACCTTTTATCTGGTCTTCGCCCCCGAATTACTCTCACCCCTGTCCCGACCGCTCTCCTTCCCCCAGGGATCAGTGCAAACAGCAGACCGAAATACGCCCTGCTGGGCGCGTGGGTATTATCCCCTCCTGCAGTTTTCTGTGGGCTCTCACCTGCCTGATTTACCCCACTGTAACTTTATGCTCACCGAGGTTAGGCTAAAAAATAAGAATTAAGGCTGGAGCCCTCGGCACCAGCTGTTAGTACGGCTGTTAGTTGACAGCTACGGAAATTGTCCCGTCCGACGTTTTCTATTTGGCGGCGAACGTAATGATGTATCATGGCTTCACATACTTGACTAAACAGGTTCCCGACTGGCAAAGTTGTGACACTGGAAACCTGAAAGAAACTGGGTGGGAGATGGGGGCATTTGGCAATATTTGAGACTACATATTAAAAGACGTTACGAATGAGCTTTACAGATTTTTCCTCTAATCCTCAGCAGTTTGAGTTCAGTCCAGTTCAACAGGGCTAAAAGTACTCCAGGACAGCGTTCGGTCACACAAACGATAAAGCTTTTTTTCAGACTTAAATTTAAGTTTTTATTTTCTTCGTTGTGAGTTCCTATATCCTGTTTGTTGCCATGTTACGCCTAGGTCACAAACGTACAACAGCCCTTATCAGTGACTCCACAACTTCGGTTATGGAGTATGAACGGGCACAACTGCCACCAGATCAACGTGGAAACCTCAGGAAAGTCAGTATGTGTTTCACACTTCTGGCTAAATACAGGTCTTTGCTGGCCTAAAGGTCAAACCTCAAGCTCATCTTCTGCTGGAGTAAATTCACCTATAAGTTTTTTTTTTTTTTCTTTTTCAGAAATGTCTGAATTCATTAAGTAAATCATTTGCCTCTAATGCAACACATGACATTCCCCTTGGCAACTCTGCAACTTTCTAATTTTATTGCCGTTTCGAGGGTAAGAGAAAGGAGGTGTCATTGATTTAAAGCTGCTAAGTTTTGTGGAGATAAGGAGACACAGCGGAGTAGGCAGCAGTTTATACGCTCAACAGTTTAACTTCCTAATTCATCCTTGTCTATTTGGCCGCATAAGTAACAAATCCACGTGAAGGACAAAGATGTTTACAGGGCTGGTTAGACGGCACCACCTTGTGGCCCGACCGCACTCTACAGAGCCACAGAGCTATAAAATACCCCTACTGCTAATGCTTCCTCTGCCTGTTCATTTATTTCATGTTAAGGAGGCCCTTACAGCTCCGTGTTTTACCAAGACTATTAATTTTTTATTTGAGAGAATAGCTTGTAATCAAGATAATCGATTTCAAAAAGTAGGGGGGAAAAAAATCTCGTTCTTGCTGTCCCCAGATTTCAAATGCTGTGTCTACATCGTATTACTCAGGAATACCTGAATTATTTCATTATGTAAAAGCATGTTTTTTCCAGCCTTTAGCGGGGATTCTGTACAACGGTACTGGCAAAAGTAAAATAAAATCCACACTGCATTAAATTACAAAATCCCCCGCAGAGGCGCACGCGCAGACCTGGCTCCCAGGCCACCTGCCCTACTCGCCGGCTGGTCCGGCTTGATGCTCGCTACGATGGCGCGCCGCTGTGCGTGCCCTTGTTCGCCCCAGGTGCTGGCACCCAGGCGCACGGGGCCCATCACCTGGGCTCCCGCTCTAGCTGCTGGCGCTCAGACCTCCACGTACACCCGTGCGCAGAGAAGAGGGAGTCCCTCACCCAGGACAATAGTTAGAAATGGAGTTTAATGAGAAGATCGGACGGAGGGCACTGATGAGATGCAGGGCATGGCCAGGCAACTGCACTGACCAGCAACCTGGTTACACACAACTGGCCGCTTGTCCCTCTGTTTTCCCATGCTTCTTTCCCCGTGTGTGTGTGGAGAAGAGCTTGTTATCACTTGACCTAACAGGACTGCATAAATGGACACAGCATTGGCATTTTGACTGCTATGTCACCTAACATACATGGGGCAATACTAAAGGCTAAAATAGGATAATAACACTGCCTTTCTGTCCTTAATAAGACTGCACGCTCTTCAGCATGAGGATTATTTCTTACTGTGTGCTTAATACAACAAAGTGTTCAGCCCATAGGACATTAATGTAATAAAGAACATTTTATGCAATTTACAGATACCATGTTGTACAACTTCTCAAGACTTCTGCATTCATTTATTTTCAAATGAAATTCTACATTTGATTTTTACATACACTGATCTTATTGTGTTCATTATTTTCGTATAGCTGTTTTCATCCTAATCAGGTATTAGGAGAATGGAGTTGAGGAAGAAGAAAAAAGGTTCCATCTGACATGCTTTCCCTAAAAAAATCCACTTTACTAGTTTAATAAATTGAAAGTTTATTTGTTAAATGCATAAAACAGTGCAATATAAAACATCAGTCCATTTCATGACAAAATAAGCTTTATAGCATTATTATTACAGTGCATCAGAAGTATTCTGAATATGTGCTCACTCCATCAGGGTATTCTCAGGAAAGATCAAGCTCCATAGTGCTTGATATGCATGGACGAATCTTAGTTGCTAAAATGCTGCAGGTCAGACTCTTAGCTGGTGAAAAACAGCTGATTCACACCCACTCAGAATCTGGACCTATGTCTTTCTCTTAATTTTAAATTAAATTATTTTTATTACTTTTATTATAGTCTATAGTGGTAGAACTCCGTAACTGAAGCAAAATGAGGCTTCCCTGTTCCAATAATGTACCAATAACTCCTGTCCCAAGGAGCCTACAACCTACAGGTCAGGCCATAAGCTGACAAATAACAAATGTATTGGAATATACGTGATTCCTAATAATTGCCTTCATTATCGGCAACACACTAAAATGCAGAAAGAACAACATCTTTGCTGCTATCTAAATGCCAGGGATAATAAGAAAAAAGCAGCACAACAAACTGTAAATAAAGATATTTACAAAAAACTCCAGCTAATTCACAAACAAATACATCAAGGAGTAGATTCTACAGAACCGGGCTGAATGGTCATACATACTTTATGTGCCAGCACTGTTTATTCCATACCATTTATCTCAAAACGTAAATCTTAGTCTGTACGGTTTGATTTTTCTATGTGTAATGGTTTCAGGATAAATACAAAACAGACTTGCTCACAAACTAGAAATATTATAGGTTACAGGATGCCATAAATATTATCAGACATTGTGCTTGCTCCTGTTCATTGAACATGAACATTCACACTATTAAGAAATAAATGATATATACTCAGGAATGGCCCTGAAATTCAGCTGAACTCAGCAAGAAATGGGAGCGTGTAAGACAAGGTGTAACGATAAAAAATAATGGTAATGAAAGGTATGCGATAGTGTATAGGGGGTTATAGATCTATATCTTGAAATTTTTCTCTGATTCTTTTTTAAACTCAGGTGCTATATTAAAATTGAGTCAGAGTTCAATCATTGAGGAACGAAATAAAAAAATTCTCTCCGTTTCTAGATGTGTCCGCTCATCAACAATCAACAAATGGTTTTATTTTGCTAGAATTACTGTTTAAAATTACCCTAGGCTTGATTCTCCAGTTAACAGAAGCTGCATATACTGATTACCTCTGAAAGTCTAGATTTAAATATTTAGGTTAGAAAATGTTGCCTTTAATTTTTCATCAGAGAGATTTTGGCTTCGATTTTTCGTCCAACAGGACTGAACATAACATATTATTGTGCTTCTTTTTAGAGGAACAATACAAGGTTTGCTTTTATGTCCATTGGAATATATGAAAGGGAGCTGTCAAAGCCAACCAATCTGTTATCTTCATGAATAAACCTTAATTACATATTACTAATATAAATTAAGAGCAGATCTTAACAGATCTTGGCATCTTAAAGCCAGGTAGGTATTTTCACACATTGAACTCCCAACTGCAAAGTTGTTGCAGAACGTCCCCCTCTCCTGATTGGAACACTTCTAATTTCCAACTTATATTTTTCAAAGACAGATTGCAGCACTTTGTTTTGGATTAAATTTTAGCTAGCTGAATCAGCCTTCTCTTTACTTGACACTGTACCGGCACTAATTAGTTACTGTGAACTGAGGTTTTCCTGCTTTATATCATAATCACTTCTATGACCGCAATGTAATTGTAGTCTTAGATTTTTCTCTCATCATGGGTTTTCAATGTCCAAATTATTCTTCCAGGAAATTATTTTAACAATAAAGATCTTTATACTCTTTTAGTTTAAAAAGTGCATTTAGCAAAAGACCTATTATAACTGGCAATAACACAATGCATTTATAAATATCGCACAATGATACTTACTTTCATTGGACTCTACAGTTAGTAAATAAAGAAGCAGAAATATTTAATACTGACAAAATTACTCAAGTGTATTAACTATAAGTAAACATGAAGGTGAGTATTACAACTACTATTATAGTTACATAATGCATAAGTTTTATGATGAAGGACATGTTATTGTCACCATTTATTGAAACTATAAAATATGGGGTTGTTAAACAGGAGGCCTGTCTTCATATATTAGATCAACTTAATGCACTGGGCAAAAGTAAGCTACCATTCAAAATTGGTGTCTTGGGTTAAATTCCCCCACTTGAGTTCTTGATGCTTATCTTCAAAATGCAGCCAGCATATATTTACCCTCTGAAAGAGAAATATGCTTTTTAAATTAATTGAAAGTACCCTTTGCCTCGCTGTCTCACTTCTTTGGATTTCTGGTCCTAGAAATACATCTAGACCTGCGTGAGCCTGGGTTAGGCATGGACAGACAGTGTTTTTGTTTTTGTTTTTTTTTATTTTACTAGATTCTTTATCCCATGAAAACCTTTAGTTTGTATGCATTTGTTGCAGAGGTTTGAAGTCCCTGTCATTATACCTGCCGGTCTGATTGTATCCCATCTGCATCTGGCCCTTTCACAGGCAGTATTTCATAGCTGATTTACCAGCGGGGGCTGTACTACCATTGCTTTTAGCACAATAGGGGACAAGCATAATAGAAGTAGCATTAGTTATAAAACGATTTGGTAGGCAATAGCGTGCTCACACATTATCATCATTTTGTTTCATTGAAAGATGAAATCCATGCTGTCCTAGCTAAAATGGCATATAAGGAGATATTTTAAGAAGCAGATGATAAGAGCTTGGCGTCACAAGATAACAGTTTTTGATTACCCGCAGGATTTATGTTTAATTTTGTCTCCGTGGTAGCAAAGATCCAAGATAAAAAATAGGGCTCAGTGTTTCTAAAGTAAATAGCTGCAGGTCTCTCTCTCTCTCTCTCTCTCTCTCTCTCTCTCTACTTTTTAACCTGAATCCAGATAATTCTGGTTTGCCATTGCTTTTCCACTTCGTATTTCCTGGTTTTCTGAAGAGTGCCTTTCTGGTCTCTAATAATCTGGCCTGGCACTAATTTGACACCATTAACTTTTACTTTTTCTTATGTTTCTTTCTCTCTTTTTTCCCTTTTCAAAAGGCTCAGCATAGGCCAAAGGCAATGACAGAAATGATACAGTAAAACTTTTAAAATATGTTATAACATGTACTCCAACATTATCCCAATCCATTACCTTTGGTAGCATGTTATTACAAGAAATTAATACATAAAGTATTTGAAAACATCAGCTGTTTACCAAAAGATGAATTAATAGAGACTGCTAAACATTTTTAACATCAATTTACTATTAAAGCGCTTGTAGGACCCCACGCCTACATAGGACCTCATTCACATAGAGGACTAGAGGTACAGCAATTGTTTAGCATAACTGCTTGCAGATCTGACCGATATTTTGGCAGGAATAAAGCTAAAACGAATTGTATTTTGAAGGAAGAACACTGACAATTCTGTTACGTTTTTCCCCAGGAACGTGTATAACAGTGGCCATAAGTAGCTATCTAGTAGTGTGAAGAGCTAAGGAAAATAAATTTGAGGAGGAGGAAAAATGAAAACTGTTAGTGAACTGGTATTGTAATGTACAGAAGTAACTACTCTTCCTTTAAGTTTCCACAAAAGGCAAGAGACAAGCTTGTTTTGAAGTGCTTGGGGTCTACTTGCCCGCAATCTCTGTCCTGTCTCACAGTATCCTGTGCCAGGCTGTATTTTAGTTTGCTCCTGCTAGGCAACCAGTCCCGAGTTCTGCATTCCACTCTGTAGTACCTACTCTGGTTAACACTGATATGGGATTTCCAAGTCAAAGTCAGCTTTAAAGCTGTGGTGCTGCTGTCCTTACATAAACAGTCTCGCTGACTTTAAGGAGTATCACATCTAGCGCCACACTGTTTGGCACACTGGATGGATAGTCTTTAGTAAGTCTGAAAAGTGATCAAATGCCTGCATACAGTTCCAAAATCCTTTGTTCTCACGATGAACATCCTCTTCATGGACTAAGTCAAAGGGTTTCCAGGTTGCATCTGCAGCTGTGCAGCTCCCTTTACATCTCAGATGTTGAACTGTACTCATCCAGGGAACTGATGAATAAAGCTGTTTTATCCATGCTATGAGGGACACACACCGGGGCATGACTCCATTTTTTTTTTCTTTCTTATCTTTTCAAAGTAAAGAGAGAAAAGAAATATGGGAGCCAGGAACGGGATGGCCAATTCCAGTACGAAGAAATCAGTGGTCTTGTTTTAAGGGTCCTGAGCTGATCCAAGGCTTAGAAATTATTGATAAGCAGAGACCGGAGACTGAGGGTGAGTCTTGACTGAAAAAAAAATAGCAGAGAGAAGAATCTATACATGTTTTCCAGATACTCTGGATTGATATATGTTCATGCTGCTTCACTCATTCAGTGGAGTGGTACCAAATTAGTGCAGCTCAGCACCTGGCCCTACTTTTCTGTTTCAACTTTGAAAAGTAGGACTTGCTTTGCCTGTTACGGAAAACATGCTTTCCCTGGGCTAAAGTGCAGTGATTGTTTAACAGCTTACACTCTGTAGCAACCGTTGTCAAACAACAGAAAATATTTCATCCAAATGAAATCAAAGAGGAGTTATAGACAGCAAAGTGGAATAATTCAAAGTGGAAACTGGCAAAGGTCCCATAGCTGAACTCTTTAAATGAAAAGTTCCAAGGAACCTTTTTGGCATGCTTGAATTCTATTTCATAACAGAGCTCACCTTACCAGAATGTATGGAATTCTTCAGCTTTCTCAGCTTAAACACATACTTACCAATTATTCTTTCTTTCCAATTATTTCCTGGAAAAAAAAAAAAAACACATAGCATACATTTTTGTATGTCCTGATTTAAACCACACTTTGTCATAATCAGTATATCTGTAGGTTCTCATTAGCCAAATGTATTTATGCTATAAGGCTACTTCTTTGAGCAAGTAACTTCTCACCTGTGACGACGACAAAAGAAGTGTCTCTGTGCACCAGGGACTGAAAAGCTCTCACAGTGTATTTGTTTTCCTTTGCTGAAAAACAGCTTTATTTATGATGAAGGGCTAAACTATCAAGGAAGTCAGAACACCTGACTTTGGAACCTGGGTTTTCAACATGCTAGCAACACCATCCAGACTTGGTGCCATTGATTTTACCGGGATTAATGACATAGCGACAAAGTGAAACATACTACCTTTTAGTATCTGAGACTCTTGAATGCTGAAAATCTGAGATTTATTGTAATATGACTTTCCAGCTTTTGCTTTGTCATTTCTAACTTCCAACATACTAAATTCAAATTTTAAGAGGTCTGTCAGATTTGACTTGTTGCCGTTGGGATACATCAAACTTCTGAACCCTGTCCCACTTTCAGAAACATTAGCAGTGTCCTTTTGAGCTTCTCTTTCACCACATACAAAATCAGATAAGCCCAATGCATTTAGTCTCTGCAATATTTTAAATGTTGACACACTCCGAAGAGTTTTCTGCTGAGTAGAAAGTCAAAGGAATAACAATTCATAAATCCGGCACATACATACATGCTTGCAGCATGGAGGCCTATATATGGGCTGCTCTAGAGATGTATTTTAGACTTCGTTACTATGTAGGTATTTTTCTCCAGAAGGCTTTAGAAGCTACAGCTCTAAGCAAAGCTTTGAAATAAAGCAGTTAGAGCAGCAACATCATCACCTTTGTGCAACTCCGACTGATTTAATACTACTTTCTGCGATATTTATCAGACTACAGCATAAGCCAAGGCCAAAGCTTTGTCCTAAAACTACTAGCGTGTCGCGTTAGTGGAGATAAGTCATATCCGTTCTATAGTCCTTGAATAGGGCTTGGCGATGTCCTTGGTGATGTGGCTAGCATATCTAGCTGCTTTTGATTTTTCCAGTCCAAAAGAAAAGGCACAGCTTGGTGGCCTGAGAGCAGACTTCAGTGCAAGGCTCAAATGCATTTCTCTCGATTCATAATAAGATACTCTCCTTCGTTTGCCTTTGCATGTCTATGTTATGGCACATTAGGCTTATCCTTCTTTTCTGCTAATAGATATCTGTTATTGTACATTATAAAAAGGCAGCTTTTCAACATAAACAGGAAATTTATATGAATACAAATAAGTAACAGGAAAAGCCAAATCCTTCATCAGTAACTTCAGATCATGCCTTTTATCTTATGACATGAAAACTGCAGAAGGAGTATCTCCCTCCTCTTCTTAATAGAAAATTCCTCTAGCCATTGCATGACATTGGTGCTACTTACCCAAACGTAGTTGTTTTGAAAGATGTGACGAGACTGACGAAAGATGACACAGCAGTATCTTGGGACAGAAGAACTGTCAAGTTTAAATGCAAAATTCTGTAACTGATTAAAGAATGCATTCTGTCCCCATATGATCACACATTGCTCTTATCAGCATCAGTAAGAACTGTAGACATACATCTAAGGATAGGGTTTGATCCTTAGATGTGACTTGGTAAAATATCGTGTTGAGTATTAAGAAAGTCCGTACTTACAAACCACAATTATCAGCAGCAAAGTCACAGACAATCCTCCCAGAAAATACCTGAGAACAAAACAATGCCCATACAGTTTAGAACAAGCAATGGATGCATATTGGGTTAATACAGGTGAAGACTGAGTGGGAAGAGGAGAGAAGTTTCTTGCAGATGAACCATCTGAACTACCCTACGTGAACTCAAATTTGAAACTTTAAAATATTTAAGCTATTGAGGATAAACTCCTAGAGGTAAAGCTCTCAGCATTCCCAGATCAGAAATGAAACACACATATTGGTGACTTGGAAGGACAGGGATTCAATCCGATTCTTCTCAGGCTTTCGAAATCCCTGCCCAACCACACTTGAAAGTAGGTATCATATCTGCACCCATATGTGTTATTTTTGTGCACACCTATATAGCTTCAATATTCGTTTATACTACCAAGGACAAATATGTTTGCACAATAAGACATACCTAGCTTTGCAAATGCGACCCTGCATTTATATTTTAATCACCAGGTGAATTGCAGAAAGTATTAATATAAATAGCAATAAAAAAGAAATAAAAATTACCTTGCACATATTGAAATGATTAAACACATGATCAGTACAGCCATTTGAGAGAGGATATTTCTCACTGTACTGGATTCTAAAATAAAAGGAAGCAGATCAAGAAAATAATTCTTCTGAGTTTTCATGACAGTAAGCACATGGCAGGAAGTGTTCGCAAGACATTACCTTCAGCCTGCGAGGCCAGTCTCCTCAATTTCCCTCTATTTAAGAGAAATTCACCTACAGTGATTCAAAGCAGAAGCCTAATTTTCCTACTCTCAGTGTCTCTCAGGAGTCCTTTTCCACTATGATCATATAAAGTTCATACCCTCCAACGGTCTCATAAAATAAGCCTTTCTGAATAATTGCATTTTTTAGGTCTTGTCCCCACGGCCTTTCCTCCATTTTACTCCTCATTCTGCTTTTTTTTTTTTTTTTTTCAGTTCATCACTGAAAACAGGAGAGGAAAAAATGTGAGTGGGGCAGAGTGAACAAATAAAATATCTGTTTTAAGATTTTATTATTTTTAAGTGGTTATTTAAAAGTTATATTTCTTGAAATATTCTGTTCTGCAAAAAGCCATTTTAACATTTTTAACGTGAGTATTTTCAGGTCACTCTGAAAACAGAGCATATCAGGATAAGAACTTAACGCACCTGCACTGCTCACAGGCTCTTCGTTGTCATCTATCATAAACTGGGGGCACGATGGTGAAGTATGGAATGGTTTCCTGGGCTGAATGAACTCCTTGTCTTTGGTGAGAGAGGCTCCATTAGCTGAAGCTTGCCTTTGTGATACAGGGCCATTGCATTCAGAAGAAAAGTCTGAATCACCTACAAAAAGTGTGTATGTAACTTAGCTCATACAAAAGAAGGCCTTTGACAATTTGTGCTAAGAAAAAAAACTTAATCACAGGGAGGTTTCCAAATTGCTCGGGGTAGGGAATAGGCAGGTTCAATATACACAGGAGAAAATATGAAAAATAAAGACAAGACTGGATAAAACGTTAACACATTCAAGTTATAAAAATGGCCAGGTAAAAATAGCAAGTGCCAGTTATTAATGACACTGGGATAAATCTCACTGGTGGTGACTTTGTATTCAAATACAGCCTAAAAATCCCCTTTGGGCATGAAGGTCTTTGTGGACTCGCACACTGTGGCCTTTAACACCACTAGCTCAATTCACCAATTAGAATTCTGTCCTTCACCTGCCCCTTACCTGCACATCTGGGCAGACAACTCATACAAAAATTATAGACAGATACCACTTCCGACTAAATACGGAACATAATATTACTTTGTAATTACTTTGCTAAATTACTTTGTACCTGGCCAGAACTTACCAATATCACTCTGACTGACTTCTGGTTTACTGCATCCATCAGGCCAAGAATCATCTCCATGGGAAGAATCCATGTTGCTGAGGACAGCGCTGCCGAGCCACGAATTAGAGGCACTGAGATTGAACAAGCTAGCAAGAGAGCGACGGATCTTCTTCCTCCGCCTGAATATGCTGGAAAGAAAAGAAACGTTGTCAAGGGACAGTGTTAATCAATCTTATTGAACAGGAAACAGACCTCTAATGTGGGCAGAACTGAAACGGAAGAACCGGAATCCTAGGCGCTGTTCCTTGCTCTGTTATGAACTCGCTCTTTCACCCTGGATACAGCACTAACAGTAACTACTGCACATTGCAATTATGGCAGGAAATAGATTAGCAGAGCAGTAGTATATCATGCATAATAGTGGTGCAGTGATAGTGGTACCAATGTGATAGTGGTATTGCAATACCAAATGATATTACTGTTCTTAGGCTCTGACACTTGGTCTAAGTGGTCTCGCACTATCCAGGAAAGTTTCACCCTACCTTATCCCATTCTGAGCGATCTGAATTCACTGTACTCCTGCTTTTTTGTACTATACCTTATCTATCTTCCTAAAGTGATGCTTCTTCTGTGATTAAGAGAGATTTTTCCTGACTAAGGGTTTGAGGATCAAACCTTTTTTTTTCCACTCTTGTCTTATCATCGTTAACATCTTATTGAGAAAATGAGCTGTAGCTCTTATTTATATTTATTACACACAACTCTGACTACAGCAGCAATTGTGCTCTTAACAGTAATGTAAGACATGACTGATAATCAAGTGATTTTAATCACTGAGCTACTTAAACTAAATCAATTGAGATGTTCCTGTTAAGAAACACTGATACAGGTAAGTAAAGGAAAACGTAAGAAATTATATTATGACAAACAAAATGTAGGCACCCACACAGGAATCTCCAGATGAATCCAGAGATGTGGAGCCAAATGCTAACATTAAGTAAAATCTGTGTATACTTCACTTACCGAACTAAATTTTCCTTATATGTAACACTTGTCTGTGATGGTGTCAGTGTTACCTTGCCTTCTTCATCAGACAGAAAACTATCTTCTGTCAAAATGTAATAACCGTTAGAAAGCAGCCGAGGGCTCCGGCGGTATGTGAATGGGGAGCCTGTCAAAGGATTTATGGAACAACGCTCGCCGGCAGTCTCATCGTCCAGAAGGGCACAGGCATAACTAAGTAAGAGAGAAATGAAACCCTCTAATTTAGCAAATGTCTAGATCACGCAAAACCATGATTTAGAAATAATGAATTACATATACTATCAACTCACAATTAATGGTGGTTGGTAATAACATAGATTAAAAAAAAAATGGATAATACTATTACTTCTGGACCTAAGGGTGTTCTCAGTCAACTAGAGCATGTGTACCTCACACTTCCCAGAGCTTCTGATTGCACTAGGGCTTCATGCCAAGTGGAGCACTGCATGAATGCGTGGAGCCTGCCCGAGACAAGAAGTACAAGGCGTGTTGGTGTGGCAGTGCTCCTGGGCCCAGGAGTACTGCCAGATCTCCACCTCCATGGAGCCAACACAACTATTCCAGTTTTGTGCTCCTCTGAGTTATCGTGCATGGTGCAAGCCTGGGTGCCTCTGAATCAAGGCAAGATTTATTTGCTCTTTATACTCTTGCCGTACATAATGAAGAGTTAAAGGTACATAACTTTTAATTCTCACAGCTCCTACAAACTATGCAGCTGTAACTACGTGGGATAAAGTCTACACACAGTGGTAACTTCATCCAGTACTGAAATGCAGGTAACTTTGAATTGAAACATAGCACATAAAAATACATTTTGTGACATTTAAAATAGAAGTGATTTAGTGATAGAGGTGAAAGAATCTGCAGTGCTGTAGAGTTTTCTGCAATGGGAATTTTATTTTGTTCAGGTGGGCACTTATGTTGAGTTCTTTCTCCTCAAAAACTCTGAGTTCCAAGTGGCCACACAGTGACATCCGTGGAGAAAAGGAAGACACTGGACTGACTCAGTGGTTGAAATGAGTTTCAGTAGCAGGCTTCAGTCTCCCATATGGCATGTCAGAGAGGGATACTACATTTTCAGTGGAGAGGAAGGAAGGTGGAATAGAGATAACCCAAAACCTCATAATTGCAAAGCCAGTGCTTCTAAAGCTCCACATCACTACTTCTGAGCTTCCATTTAAAGCAGTAATTAATATCAGCGCTACAGTAGTCCTAAGCGGCCCAAAAAAGACTTTATGAAATCTCCAACAACATAAAAATAAGATTAAGTAAGTCTAATCTTACTCAGTACCTTGGAAAAATATGTTTTGAGAGGCTGTGTCTGTGCTCTTCATCAAACACCCTTGAACCTGCAGAGGCAAAGGCCAAATAACAAGTTGTAACGTTTCTCTTGACAGGTCAAACAGTTGACAGGTCTTCACTTACTTACAGATACCTTGAGCAAATAAAAAGCATAAAGGAAGTTAAAAAAGGAAGGAAAGGAGAGATTAAAGGAGAAAAAAAGAGGGAAAAAATAGAAGGAAGACACAGTGTTTACAGTGAACTGTTTAATATCAGCTCAAAAAGGACAACACAGAATCACAGCTAACCACGATCAAATACTTGTACTCTGTAGAGCTTACTATCTTGGCAGGAATTACTAGGTCCACCGACATGCAATAGCTACAGCAATTTTAATGGTACTTTCCCAGAAATCTTGCTCATGCTGGAAATAGCACATGCACTGACAACAGTTACAGGGTGGAATGGAAGGGCCACAACTATCATTACAATATATTCTTCACGTGATATTTGCAGACATGGCACAACAGCCATAGGGATAGGGGACAGTGACAAAGATTTGACAATAATATTGTGACAGGAGAGTAGAGAAATAGGATTTGTCTGCATTACCAAGGCTCAAGTCTGCCAAGTGCTGCAGATGTTCAGCATCTGACAGAATCAGTCTTAAGAAATATGAGCAATAGCTGTCTATCTGTTATTACACTGAATGGTAAAAGATATGATCTTT